TCCAACACTCTGCATCCAGCGAAGTCTGCTGAAGCCTCCCTCCGCTGCTTGTTTGGGTGGGTGAATTGCAGGATGATCAGCATCCCAGCCCTCCTATGACTGTATGTGTATTCAGAGCCAGTGAGCAACGCACTTTCAAAATAATAGCCTAATAATAGAAACTGTGTTAATGTGTGATAATTGTCGGCATTAATTAATTAATGCGTTGACGCAATAATAACGCGTTAACGTGCCCAGCCCTAAAACAATAATGTATTCTCTGGTTTTATGTAAATATAAGCAGCAACAGTTGAAGTAAACACATAGTAAAAGATGAAAAAATAATATAGCTTTGAAAAGGATGTCAATAACAATCAAGCTAATGCACTCGAGGCAAAGGTTCAGACCATGTAATAAATGTAACAAATGGATATACTTACATGGCCCTTTTGTTGCAGTAGGCAGAGTGAGAGATGTTTTGGAAAGAAGAATATTTTTAAATGAATTGATAATTTGTTCATGAAAATCAGACAAGACAAACGTCAGTTGTATGAAAAATGTTCAAATGTAACAAGAAAAAAAACTACTGCTACTGGTAAATAATAATAGCTGTCCAGTAGCTTCCCAAGTTGCAAGATTAAAATGTTATACACATTAATGAAGTCAAACATCTTACCAGTGACTGCAATAACGCTCACTCCACTGCTTCTGGCGTTTTCAAACACAGAGTAGAGAGTGAATACGTATGTAGTTCTAGCAGTGAGAGATGAGACTGTGTAAGTTACTGGTCCATCTCCATCTGGTGCAGTGATGCTGATCTCTGCATCATTAAACTGGAGAATAAAGCTGAAGTTGTTGTTCACTTTGTTCCACTGCAGGGTGATACTGGTCTCATCTTGTGCTGTTGATCTGAAATTTTCTGCATTTGGAGGAGCTGAGACAAAAAGAGCAGTGAAAAATGGATTAATCTCTAAGAGTTTAAGATGGTTTGTTTTGTGTCCCCACATTGATAAAAGTGACATATATTACCGGTAACTGCAGTAATGTTTACTCCACTGATTCTGACGTTTTCAATCACAGAGAAGAGAGTGAATGTGTATTCAGTTGCAGCAGTGAGAGATGAGACTGTGTAAGTTACTCGTCCATCTCCAGCTGGTGCAGTGATGTTGATCTCTGCATCATTAAACTGGAGAATAAAGCTGATGTTGTTGTTCACTTTGTTCCACTGCAGAGTGATACTGGTCTCATTTTGTCCTATTGATCTGAAGTCTTCTGTTTTTGGAGGAGCTGAGAGAGAAGAAGAGAAGGGAATGAATTTATCAACAAACAAGTTTTCGTAATAATTATTAATACTCCATGACTGTTAAGGTTGCTACATTTTGTATTCCATTGTTAAGAAAACCCAGTGGTGGCTATGGGAGATACAGTAGATGTTTGTATTAGCAAGAATGTCACATTTTATACCTAACCACATCACAGTGTGTTTGACAAGACATATGTAATGAACAATAAATTAAGAATTTAAAATTCATGGTACTTTAAGTTGGACAGTAACCATGGGGAAGTAAAGGAGTTTAAAGAGGTGGTATTATGCTCATTTTCAGGTTCAAATTCAGGGGTTGTACCAGAACAGGTTTACGTGGTTTGATTTTCAAAAAACACCATATTTTTGTCATACTGCACATTGCTGCAGCTCCTCTTTTCACCCTGTGTTGAAGGCTTCGTTTTAGCTATGGAGTGATGCATCTTGTCTCTAAATGATCTTTGTTGGGAGTTGCACATGTGCAGTTCCTAGTTAAGGCCTACTAGCCAATCAGAAGCAGCGAAAAGACAGTAACCAGCTTTGATTCAGCTGTAGGCTACATGTTGCCGACCAGGTTGGCAACATGGACTGGAGCAAGAGTTTCAGAGCGGTGAGTTATTAATCTGTAACAAAAGTCTCTTTCATCCATTAAGTTTTAAATGAGCTCTGTCTCTACATCACAGTGACAACTTTATGTCCACTGACTGCCTGGAGGGTAGCTAGTGTTTGGAAGGGAGAGGAGAGGTGTGTGCTGCAGCTAAGTGGTTTTCCACCGGTGTTTTTGAGGGCATGTCGGGCTAGTGTATCAGCGAGCATTATGACACGTATTTACTTGTGACATCACAAAAAAGCGGAAGAAAAGGCTACACTACAAACAAGCTGTTTTCAGGCAATTCAGAGCAGAGTTTTCTGTGGGGGATGGGAACTCCCTTTGGGCTGGACTTTGGGCTTTTTCACTTTGCAAACTTGTTACATGCACAAAAAAGATATAACTCAATAAAGGAGAGGGGAAAAGCCAAAAACCATAATACCACCTCTTGCCAATGTGTTGGCCAGTTCAGTACTTAACTTCAGGTAGAGAAGCAGGACATCAGCAAAATACAATAAAATGTTCCCCAGTCACACTTGTAGCTCCTGGGTAAAGCCCCAGAGCTAAAATATACACAGCAGTGGAAACCCTACTTTTGCTATTATTTTAGGCTCTGTTTGATGAAGGAGGTAATGCTTTCATAGTTTCTTTTGAATGTACATCGCACAGCATGAGGTGAGACAGATTAACCTGTTGCTTTTATTTATCTGCCTCTGATTAGTCCAGAGAACCAGGAGACGTTTTTTGACTTCAAGGGCTCCACGGTCAAGTTAGCAACAATAAATATGCAACGTCTGGTTAGACTTTCAAAGGCCTATCTCTTAGTGTTGCCTTGTTGAAGTGGCACGTTGTTAATATCACATATAAACGGCACAGCTAAACGCAATTTGGTTAGATTTAAGCACTAAAAGTAGATTTAGGAAAAAATCATGGTTTGGGTTAAAAGAACTATGATATATACACCAGTTAACTTATGTAAGTTAAGTAATGTTATTTGCATAGCTTACTCAACTTACATAGCCTACGTAACTTGTAACAGTCAACTATACTGCCTTCATGTAGGCTTGTTTCATGACAAACTCTTTGAAAAGTGTACACACAGTGCCGTTCCATAGAGTAGCAGCTGAATGACCTCACACAACAATGGCATTAACTAAGTTACCCTCTGACATTTGCAATATGTTTTTTTTTTCAATAAGGGTTGCTGAGAAGTCTTAAATATCTTGGAGTTATCTTTGATCAGGACATGTCGTTTAAGTCTCACATTAAGCAAATTTCAAGGACCGCCTTTTTTCACCTATGTAGTATTGCGAAAATCCTGTCTAAAAATGATGCAAAAAAACTAGTCCATGCATTTGTTACTTCTAGGCTGGATTACTGCAATTCTTTATTATCAGGCTGCTCGAAAAAGTCCGTTAAGACTCTTCAGCTGATCCAGAATGCTGCAGCACGTGTTCTGACAGGAACCAGGAAAAGAGATCACATTTCTCCTGTTTTAGCTTCTTTGCATTGGCTTCCAGTAAAATCCAGAATAGAATTTAAAATTATTCTTCTTACCTACAAAGCTCTTAATGGTCAGGCACCATCTTATCTTAAAGAGCTCATAGTACCTTACTACCCCACCAGAGCACTGCGCTCCCAGAATGCAGGGTTACTTGTGGTTCCTAGAGTCTCCAAAAGTAGACTAGGAGCCAGAGCGTTCAGCTATCAAGCTCCTCTCCTGTGGAACCAGGTTCCAGTTTGGGTTCAGGAGGCAGACACCATCTCCACATTTAAGAGTAGGCTTAAGACTTTCCTCTTTGATAAAGCTTATAGTTAGGGCTGGCTCAGGTGAGTCCTGAACCATCCCTTAGTTATGCTGCTATAGGCCTAGACTGCCGGGGGATTTCCCATGATGCACTGAGCTCCTCTCTCCTCTACTTTCTCTCCCTCTGTATGCAACCTCATCCCATTATTGCATGTTACTAACACAACTTCTCCCCTTTCTGGTAGTCTTGTGCTTTCTCGTCCCTCTCCTCTCTCCTATCACTTCCTGCAGGTTTTCTGGCTCTGGAGCTGTGGAGTCTGGATCTGTGGTTGCGGGTCACCTCCTGCCCCCGTGTTCCTGCTCACCCTCTGCTGCAACGACTATTGTTGCTAGTCTTATTGTTATTATTGTAATTATAATCATTAACATTACGATTGTTACCATTAACACTATTATAAATATCTGTACCATTTTTCATTTAGTCTATAGCAACATTATCTTCACTGTGTGTACCTCTGTGTGTATATTGTGTAGGCTGCCTCCCTCCCCTCTCTCTCTCCTTCCATCCCTCTCTTTCTTTCTCTCTCTCTCCCTCTCTCTCTCTCTCCCCTCTCTCTCCTTCACCCCCAACCGGTCGAGGCAGATGGCCGCCCACCCTGAGCCATGGTTCTGCTCGAGGTTTCTGCCTCTTAAAAGGAAGTTTTTCCTTGCCTCTGTCGCCTAGTGCTTGCTCTTGGTGGGAACTGTTGGGCTTCTGTAAATAACATCACAGAGTACGGTCTAGACCTGCTCTTTTGTTTATAATAAATAAATTTTATTTAATTCTCTCCGCATGCGCCGGCTTCCTCCTTCCGTCCAAAGACATGCGGACTAGGTTAATTGGTGACCCTAAAATTGTCCTTAGGTGTGAGTGTGACTGGTTGTTTGTCTATGTGTGGCATGTTGACATTATCACTGACATGATCGCTATTTCTCAGTTTAAACAGAATTATACTGATGAGAAACATATAAGTAAGTAAGTATAGATGGTTGATGTTTTGAATAATAAAACTTTTTATGGTATTTGTTGTTTTTCTTGTTCTGAAACATTCATTTCAATAGCAGATTTCTGCAATCAGAGTTTTCATTTTATTTGACTTGATTTGGGTGATTTTGTGTCTTTTGAGAACATTTTATACATAGCAAACATTAACGTTACAGACAAGAAAGTAATTTTCTTTAGGAAGATAAATGTATGTTACTGTGCTGTTTACAACATGATCACTAGATTTCCACACGTTTATCTGCTATAGATAGTATGTTATTCTGAGCAGCATTTAGCAGAAGAACATTGTTCTAATGCAGAAATGAATCTCTATGTGAGTAGAAATAAGATGCATTACTTGTTGAGTAGCAGATGAACGGGAAAGTGAGGGAGCAGTTATCATCTGACCACAGTCCTGAGTTACTGAACACTGTGGTGACACACTGCTCTGTGCTGTCTGTTTGCCCATAGGCCCAGTTTTGAAACAGAGAGGTGCTCCCATCAGACCACAGTTGTTCCAAGTGTAGACCGATCCACACAGAGTCCCCAGCAGCCAGGTTTCTGATGACATCATTTTCGGTCTGATCATGTATACTGAGAGAGAAACAGTAGTATATACACATCAAGGGTGAGTTGAATATAACTGAAGAGGTAAAAGATAACAGATTTTGTTGGTATGATTATAGTCAGAAGAATAATCACGGTTTCACATTTATCATGATTAACATGCATTAATTAATTTCACAACATTAGTAATGACTTAAGTTTATATATAAACCTTTACTTATACAGGAAATGTCCCATTGAGACACAGTCTCTTTCACAAGGGAGTTAATGTTTAATTACATTAACAATTATATTTCTATAATATGTAAGTATTATTAGGGGGAATACTAACTTCACTTATCCGCCAGGGATAAGTGAAGTTATTAAGGAGCGTAATGAACTGAACTGTTATTGTCATCAACTCTCGTCTGTGACGGACCACTGTCACTACGGTTGAGTCTGCGCTGTTAATGCCATACCAATAAGCCTTTGGTGTTGCGGTCAAGTTGCATGTTTGGTACCCTGTAAACCCAGATTCAAATCTGGGTGAGGTGACTGTTCTTGCCTTTCCGTCACATCATCTATACATATAAGTTTTTGTGAAAATGACAGAAAGACACTGAGAACATCTGTCATGCAGTGTTATTACTAACTGAAATGCATTTAACTGTTAGTCTATAAGCTCCTGATGTTATGTTAGTGTTTTACACCTGGCATATTATCATACAAAGCCTAACTTTTAGGTTTTAAGAGGACTACTTCTTCAAAGAAGTGATTTGCACTGCGAGGAAGCTGCTCAGCGCAAAAGTTCAACTACTTTGACCGCATGCCATGTGCAAGCCTTTGAAAATAATGGGTCTCATAGTGCAGCAGTGCTGTTGTTGCAGTGGGTCTGAAAGGTTACACCGGCTTTGTTTGTTTACATTGCACTGAAAGCTGGACTCTCACCTCTATGGCATCGATTGTAAGTGACACCTTGATACTTAATTCCCAATCAACTTGCCACGTTAAAGTTATTATGAATTACATTTACTTGGTGCTGCATCAAATTTGATGCAGTTATTTGAGCTTTTAGCAGCGACCTTTTAACAGCAAGTTGTAGAACAGGTGATCCGTCATATAATAATAATAGTGCCGTCCGGTAATCGCTGCACCCCCAGTTGGGAAATATAATATTGTACATTGTGTGATTATTTAAGGATTTGGTCAAGTGACAACATAGCTGTTAACATCTTAAAATCTAAATCAGTCACCTTAAAACTAAGGTATGTTACTATACTTCTATTCCTAATACTGCTTATCCATCCATTCAAGAGCCACACAGTCATGAAACTAGGGATGAAAAATATATAACTCGAAGCAGTTAAAAAATAATATTACTAAATCAACAGACAGGAAGAGAAGGATTCAAATGATAAAAAAAAGATAAATTAAAACAGTTGATTTCCCAATCTATTTGGGATTCAATCAACTGTCACAATACAATGAATTAGCTGAATCAACAGAACAGATAGTAGTTGTTAAGTAGTTGCTTCAGTCCTGAACTATTGTATGTGTTGGAGTCTTCATCAGTGCACACTGTACCTGGCTAGATCGACGTAATTCTCCCTGCAGTATCTCTGAGCTTCAGTCCAATTCAAAGGTGTGTCGACTTTTACAAAGGTTGATGTTCCATTTACTGAACCTGGAAATATATTGATGAAGAAAAGTTTTTATTATATGCTATGCAGAAATTCTATTTAGCTTTTTGTTCTTATGCTATAAGAAAACTCACCGTTATAGCACACAGAGTAGAATGGGTAGTTACAATTAATGTCCAACCACTTTCCATTGTAGTCATAGAAGTAGTAATAGTAATAGTAATAGCTTTGAAGCACCACACAGTTCTGTTGTCCGTTAGGACTATAGGGATGTCCAGGAGCCCAGTTTCTAAACTCTGTCTCTCCTTCACCATAGAAGCTGCTGTTACTCAGGGACCATCTCCAGCCCCCACCGTAGAGGCCTATCCAAGCCTTGCCTGTTCAAACAGATGTTCATTATATAACAGCTGGAATTAAAATTGTTGCTGAATTGACTTAAATTATAGATGAATGTGTACGATTGTACATACAGTACATACACACTATGTTTATGTTCTGTATATGTTTTCAATATTTAGAACTTGCCTCTGTAGCTTGGTGTGGTCCAGATTACAGCAAAGGCATCAGTCTGGGTTTCTATGGTGGCCAGGTCAGTGTAGACCCGTCTGCAGAAGCTCTGAGCTTCAGTCCAGTTCTGTGCCGTATTCTCAAAGTAGTACTGACGAGTCCCTAAAACAAAGCATATTAAATTATTTACAGTGAACATGAAGAGGCAGTATGCATCAGGTGGGTTCAGCTATACTGTGGGGTTTTACAATACATTTTCCTCATATTCATATTTCCTCATTACGCAGAAATCACTGTATCATAACTACAGAGCAGGTAAAACAATTAGTGCTCTATGCCAGAGGTCACTAGATGGTAGGTTTGCCACCTTCAACACAGAAAAATAAGGGACTCCTGTCGGAGCAGGGACCAGCAATGATAGGCTCGATGGTGTGCCAGTGGTGGAATATCATAACGTAAAACATGTTTTCAGTAAAGTGTTAAGATTGATACCAATGAACATTATAATAAGCTTTCTGCTATTAAAATCAGTGTGAACAGATCCACTCAGTTTCTCTCCATCGCAACGCAACAGACTAGCGGTCATATTGTCATAGCTGGTGGTGCAGTGGTTTACACTGTCGCCTCACAGCAAGAAGGTTGTCAAACCCCGGTTGCCCCGGCCTTTCTGTGTGGAGTTTGTATGTTTTCCCCGTGGCTGCTCTCTGGGTGCCGAGCTCTCAATGAATCCCCGCAAGTGGAAATAACATTAGGCCTACTATTTCACTCATGGATTTTATTTTGTTTTTCTGGTGCTGAAATGGTTTTCGGTATTGGTGAAGTATAAAGAATAAACAACCACCGCTTAATTTCGGGTCAAAACGTGTTGTAACGTGCGTTACTGAGATAAAAAAAAAATAAACAGGTATAATTACCGATCAAGTTAGTGGTTATGATGTTCCGAACCTTTGCTTCAGGAAATTGTCTCTACCTGCACCTCTTTGAACCTCTTTTAATAGAATCCCCCTGCTCTATGCCGTGCTGGATTTAATGTTTAGTGCCTTCACACTTTGTATATCAGCTTGAGTCAGATCAAGTTTCAGTCTCCCTCATTAAATTGGTGTTTACTGGTTACCACTGAGAATAAAAAAAGAACCAGTTCAACCACTGACATTTTCTGTGTCATTTTAAACATTTTCTGTCTTAAGTTGTACTTTTTGTCTCAGTCACAGAAATGCACACTGTATATGCAGTACAGTAGAGTCAGAGATGTTTTAATAAGATGTTTTGATTACATGGAAAGAAGAATATTTTAATATTTTTTTATTTTATATTTTTTTATTTTATATTTTTTAAGAATTGATACTTTGTAAATATCTCTTAAAAATAAGTCAGTATCATAACTGAAAATGTGAGGAAATGTTTAATTTATACAAAAAAGAGAATAAGTAAAAATAAAGACATGTTAAAGTTATGTTAACAATGTCTGTTTGAAGGCGCAATAAACATAAAGTTGACTTAATTATATACAGAAATAACAAAAATGTTACTACTGCTGGTAATTACCATTTACTGTCCAGTAGCTTCCAAAGTAATACGCCTGGTTAAATACACATTAATGAAGTCAAACATCTTACCAGTGACTGCAGTAATGCTCACTCCACTGCTTCTGGCGTTTTCAAACACAGAGTAGAGAGTGAATGTGTATGTAGTTCCAGCAATGAGAGATGAGACTGTGTAAGTTACTGGTCCATCTCCATCTGGTGCAGTGATATCGATCTCTGCACTATTAAAAAGGAGAATATAGCTGACGTTGTTGTTCACTTTGTTCCACTGTAGAGTGATACTGGTGACATCTTGTCTTGTTGATCTGAATCTTTCAGCATTTTGAGGAGCTGAGACAAAAAGAGCAGTGAAACAAGTATTAATTAACTAATGACTCTCAGTAAAAGTGAAAATGTTCCCTCCAATAGTTAAAGATGGTTCACATTGATAAAAAATAAAGAGGTGGTATTATGGTTTTTGGCTTTTTCCCTCTCCTTTATTGAGTTATATCTTTTTTGTGCATGTAATAGGTTTGCAAAGTGAAAAAGCCCAAAGTCCAGCCCAAAGGGAGTTCCCATCTCCCACAGGAAACGCTGCTCTGAACGGCCTGAAAACAGCTGGTTTGTAGTCCAGCCTTTACTTCCCTTTCTTGTGATGTCACAATGAAAATACGTGTCATAATGCTCGCTGAGCGACTAGTCTGACACACCCTCAAAAACACCGGTGGAAAACCACTGAGCTGCAGCACACACCTCTCCTCTCCCTTCCAAACACTAGCTACCCTCCAGGCAGTCAGTGGACATAAAGTTGTCACTGTGATGTAGAGACAGAGCTCAGTTAAAACTTTATGAATGAACGATACATTTGTTACAGATTTATAACTCACCACTCTGAAACTCTTGCTCCAGTCCATGTTGCCAACCTGGTCGTCAACATGTAACCTACAGTAGTGATGTGCGGATCGATCCTAAAGTATAGATAGTTCTGATACCAATGATTCCTGCTCTAGGATCAATGCTCATATAAAATGATTGATATCTAAACTCAGTAATTTGGAGTGAGTGAGTGTTTTATCATAAGTATCTTACTGTTACCAGGATGGTCGAATCATAGGCTACTCGGTTGATGCACTACGGCTCTGTGACGGAGCTTCCTTGAAGTGAGCTGCTGCAGCCCTTTACATTTCCCGCGATTGAATACTGACTCTGGCCGACTGTAAAAGCTGTCACGTCTGGCAGTATTTTAGCTGTGAAGGTAATAATGACGCTCTGTGTGATGTGTGTGCAAAGACAGTGAAATACTTTAGCAACACTGCAAACTTCGCTAAACATCTGAGATTAAGTCAAAATAATATGATGATGTCATGAAGTGGCAGTTCTGAGCAGAAGATTTTTATTATAATTAAAGAATATGACAGTAGTTTGATGTCTTGTCATTATGCAGCTATTATTTTGAATTGGTAAGGCCACAGCCTACTCCTTATTTCTGTCATAAATACAGAAACGGGAGAGGGAGGTCACATTAAACTAGAAATAAAATATGTAAAAAGTATTGGTATCAGTAATACCAGCCTGGGTATTACTTGGTATTGGATAGGAATTAAGTGGTATCGCACATCACTAGCCTGAATCGAACCAGTTTACCTCTTTTTTGCTGACCCGCCTTTCTCTGCTTCTGAGTGGCTAGTAGTCCTTAACTAGCAACTCCCAACAAAGATCATTTAGAGACTAAATGTATCACTCCATAGCTAAAACGAAGCCTTCAACACAGGGTGAAAAGAGGAGCTGCAGCAATGTGCAGTATGACAAAAAATATGGTGTTTTTTGAGAATAAAACCATCTAAACCTATTCTGGTACAACACCTAAATAGGATTTTGAACCTGAAAAAGAGCATAATACCACCTTTTTAAGGCTGTCTGTCAGGAACAGAGCAAGTGAAACAATTCTTTGTATTACTAAAAATGTTTTTTCTGGATCCAGATGTCACATTCTGTAGTCATATCCATCACACTTTATATCACAACTGAGATGTACTCCATGATAAATGAAGAATCACAACATCACAAAAGTTTTAAAAATAAATCATTCTTAATGTAAAAAATATTTTACAGTGTTGGCCAAAACAATGCTGAGTTAAATTAACATGCAATAAAGAGCATGTTGTTAAGTAGCACATTCCTTTAATGAATATTATACCCAGTAGATACGTCTTAGTTTTACACCGGTGCTCTGAAAAGCAGATGATGGCTCGCTAAGCAGATACAGAGCATAGAAATAAAGTGACATATATTACCGGTAACTGCAGTAATGTTTACTCCACTGCTTCTGACGTTTTTCAATCACAGAGAAGAGAGTGAATGTGTATTCAGTTGCAGCAGTGAGAGATGAGACTGTGTAAGTTACTGGTCCATCTCCATCTGGTGCAGTGATGTTGATCTCTGCACCATTAAACTGGAGAATAAAGCTGAAGCTGTTGTTCACTTTGTTCCACTGCAGAGTGATACTGGTCTCATTTTGTCCTATTGATCTGAAGTCTTCTGTTTTTGGAGGAGCTGAGAGAGAAGAAAAGAAGGGAATGAATTTATCAACAAACAGGTTTGCGAGAAAAATTTATTCATGCTCTATCTGGCTGTTAAGGTTGCTCTATTTTGTATCCAATTGTTGACAAACCTTAAGATGGTTATTACAGATACACATTTTTATTAGCCAGAATGTTGTCACATTTTATATCTAACCACATCACAGTCTGCTTTTTACAAGACATATGTAATGAATTCAAAATTCATAGGACTTTGCCGCTCTCTGCCCAAGACCAGGCCACTGTACACGTCACTAACCATGAATAGCCATGAAGTGATCATCCTGTCTCTTTCCACTGCAGCAGCAGATGCTCAGGAGCACATCATAGCATGACTAACGATCCTACAGCGCAACATGTGGCTACACATGTCCCACCTGCCAGAGCAGATCAGAAAGGAGCTGCTGGCCCATCAGCCCCAATGGGCTCTTCACGCCGCTCCTCAAGATGCAGTCACCCACCTGCAGCAAGCATTGGAAGCAGCAGACACAAGCAAGGCACCTTATCGGTTTTTATCTATGTGATGCTTCGGGGTTTTCTCTGATGCACTAGATACTGAATGTTCTGGAGACCAAGCACAATGCCAACGCTGCCAATTCTGGACACATTACGCACACATAGGCAAGCAGGTACAGACTTAAGGTTCAGGCCAGGGCTCTCCTGTGGACATAAATGCACTCCAGTGTGACTGCCACGTAACAACCGTCCTTACTGTTCCCTCAACATAAGCCCTGTGTGTGCTTGTACTCATGTGCCATGAGTATTTCTCCCCATTTACACGCCCGTGGCCGTGGTTTGTGTGTTTGTTCCACTCTTGCATGCGCTCTGCTCGTTTTTTTTTTGGACTGGGGACAGTGCCAAAGGTGCATGGCATGAGGGCATGAGAACAGAGGAGCCAATCTCATGCTAAGAGGCGGCCCCCAACTGAGTGGAGACTGCAATCCGATGTGATTGAGCAAATCTATCAGCCAGCGCAACACCCACTGCCCGCTGTGGCTCTATATTCAGCCAGGACAGCCCCTGGAAACGGACGTGTTTGCACACGCTCCACGGCTAGAAGAGGTGCTGTATCTGTTCCCCCCTTCTCGTCCCTCCATGAGCAGTCCTCTGAAAATGCTATCTCCCAAGACAGCCTTGCTGCTAGCCCTCTCCTCTGCTAAGAGGGTGAGTGAGCTGTGTGCCCTGTTAGTTCACCCCAGCAGCATAGTGCTTTGTGGTGACCACAGTGCAGCTGTGTTGAGACTGAACTGTTCCTTTGTTCTTAAGAACATAAGGAGATCGTTCCCCACCCCATGCTGGACAGAGGGAGGATCAACTGCAGCTGTTGTGTCCAGTGCGCGCTCTGACATCCTATGTAGAGTGCACAGTCTCCATCTGACGCACTGATCAACAATTTCAGTGATAGTGCTGGATGTACTGTCCAAGATACTCTTTGCCAGATGTCTTTGTGAGTGTATCTCCCAAGCCTATGTGTGACCCACTCTTGGCGATCTGTGCACAATCCACCACAAGTGTGGCAGTGTCCACGGAGCTTTTCAGCAGGGTAAGTGCTGGAAGAGAGCTGCACAACAGCGTCCTTTCACTAAGGTGATGTGGTGGTTGGGTCTTTGGACGGCCTGTGGCAGACCAGGTTGGTGTGGTAGAATTTTAACTTGTCGCAGCTAGGGCGGACAGTCATTGGGCTCCACCCACTGTACCCACAGAGTCCAGCTGAGGGCGGAGCCTTTGTGAAATAGAACGAAGGTTACAATATGTTAAGCCCAGAGCCCTGTAAAAAGAGAGTCGCGTCAGCGGGGGTCCACGGTGGTCCAACGTGGTTCATGGAGACCGCAGATAGTTCCTGGAAGTCCTAGTCGAGCAATTCAAAATGAGCGAGAGAAACGACAAAATGGCTATTTTAAGCGATTTCTGGTAATTTATACAATAAATGTGTTAATTTACAATATTTCTGCAGCACACTGACACGTGCATGTAGTTACATTACTACTTTTAAAAAGGAAGACATATATTTTTTTGACAATAACAGCTATAATCATCTACCTTGTGGACATTTTTTTGGCTAACCTTACATTGGAAAGTGTGTTCCTCTTGAAAACATGTTAAAAAATTCAGATCAGATTTACCTTTCTAACATTCCTTTTAGTAATCCCATGGTACCAGGGTTAATTGATCTTAATGACTAATGTACTCTTTATGACTTCAGATACAACAGACAGGTGACTATCAATGATTGTCATGTATTAATTTAATAAATCTCCAATAAACTCAGAAAACTGCATGTTAAGTGGTTTGTGCCTGTGTACTGTCTTACAATAGTCTACAGCACAGTTTATTGTGCTGTGTGGAGATGCTGCTGCAGTCGGTCAGAAAAAGGAGTACGAATGTTTGGTTTCCCAGCTGACATGGAGAGGAGGAAAAAATGATTGACTCAGGTCAACAGGAGCAAACTTACAATCAGTAAAAAGGCTAGCAAAAAATATGTGAATATGTCCTTTTTCCACAAAGAAAGAACACATCACTGGCTTAATGTTTGGTCAACCTTTCTTGTAAATGGCTACAGGTTTGATTTATGAGTTATGGATTGTTACATTTTGGAACTTCATTAAAAGCTTTTGCTGCTGATGTTGGCATCAGTTACTAGATAGTTTGTTAGTTAGTGAATGTTTTTATTTTTTCACACAGTTCTCACACACAGGAACTTTGATGATGTGATATGAATTTTTACAAAGTAATTATGTAATTACAGTAAACATATCCAGTAAGAATTGAGTG